TTGAACTTTTTTCTGTTCCTGTCTCTTTGCTGATTTCATTTATTTATCTCTAATAGATTTTTTTAAAGAGAGAGAGAGAGAGAGAAAGAGAGAGAGAGAGAGAATTTTTCAATATTTATTTTTTAGTTCTCGGCGGACACAACACCTTTATTTTATTTTTATGTGGTGCTGAGGATCGAACCCAGCGCCCTGCACATGCCAGGCAAGCGCGCTACTGCTTGAGCCACATCCCCAGCCCTCTAATAGATTTTTAATAATTTTTCCTACAATGTCCTCTGAAATAGAGGTACTTTTGCCTTTACATTGGTGTGCTATTTCTTTTTTCTTGCCTAATTGTTTTACCTAGGATCTTTGTCTTCTTCCTGATCTTGGATGAACCACTTTTGTCTTTCACCATGGAGTATGATGTTAGTTGTTAGTGTTGTTAGTTACAGATTTTTTCTTTTATTTATTCATTAATTTTTTTTTGTGGTACTGGGAATTGAACCCTGGGAAGGCCGTGCCAGTGACCTACATCCTTACTTATTTATTTATTTTTAACTCAGAGTACAGCTCAGTTGCCAGGGCTGGTCTTGAACTTGTGATCTTCCTGCCTCAACTTTCCAAATTGCTGAGATTATAGGGATGCGTCACACTGTACCCGACTAGTTATGACTTTTTCATAGGTGTTGATGAAGTTCCCTTCTATTCCTATTTTGTTGAGTGCTTCTTTTTTCAATCAAGAAAGTGTGTTAGAATTTGTCAAATTATTTTCTTTATCAATTGTGATAACCATCACAGGGTTTCCCCCCTTCATTTTGTTAACGTGTTATATTATTTTTTCCCCCAGTACTGGGGATTGAACTCAGACATACTTTACCACTGAGTTACATCTCAGACCTTTTTGTTTTTATTTTGAGACAAGGTCTTGGTAAGTTGCTGAGGCTGGTCTCAAACCTGCAATCCTCCTGTCTCAGCATCATGAGTCACTGGGATACAGAAGTGTTCTACTGCACCCAAAAACTTGATTTTTTGCAGACAGCAACTACCTTTGCTTTCCTAGGATAAATCCCACTTGGTCAATATATATAATCTGTACAAAAGGTGGCTGGCCTTTATTTCCTAGGGGTTTTTAAAATTCCTGTCTGTATATTTATAAAGATATTAGTCTGAAAATTTTCTTTCTTATTTAATATAATGCTCTGTAAACATCCATTAAGTTTAGTTAATAATGTGTTCTTCAAGTCCTTTGTTATCTGGGTATCAGGTAATATTGGCTTCATAAAATGTGTTAGAAAATGTACCCTCCTCTTCTTTTTGGAAAAAAAATTTTTGAGAATTTAATTTTTTTATTTAAAAAATTTTTAGAACAGAGTCATGCTAAGTTGCTTAGGGCCTCGCTAAGTTGCTGAGGCTGGCCTCGAACTTGAGATCCTCCTGCCTCAGCCTCCTGAGTCACTGGGATTACAGGTGTGCACTACCACACCCAGCTTCACATAGTCTTTCTGTTCCTTCTTTCTTTTCTCTGTCTAGTCTCTACTGTTTGTGGACCTTCCTGATGGTATCCACAGGTACTTTTGTGTCAATCCTTTCTTTTTGTGTCCCTCTGACTTCATGATTCCAATCATCTCACATTTAAGTTTGCTGATTATTTCTCATGCCTTTTCAAACCTGTGGTTATAACCCCTTAGTGAGTTTCCTATCTCATTTTAGCTCCAGAATTTCTACTTGGTTCTTTTGAGAATTAATTAATCCCCCCCCACACACACTTTTTTTTTCTTTTTTCCAGTACTGGGAATTGAACCCAGGGCCTTTCACATGCTAGGCTACTATCTACCTTTGAACTATATCTCTAGTCATTTATATTTTGAGACAGGGTCTCACTAAGTTGCCCAGACTGGTCTCCAACTTTCAATCCTCCTGCCTCAGGATCTTGAGTTGCTAGAGTTACGGTCATGTGTCACTGAGCCTGGCCATCACAGTAGGCTTTATTTATTTATTTATTATTTTTTAGTTGTAGGTGGGCACAATGCCTTTATTTTTATTTCTTTATTTTTATGTGGTGCTGAACCTCGTGCCTCACCCATGCTAGGTGAGCACTTTACCACTGAGCCACAACCCCAACCCCCACAGTAGGCTTTTAATAAAACACAGGTTTTAACAGAATGAGGAATAAGTAACTCCACTACCCACTCCTTTTATTCTTCTGGCTCTTGTTCTCTCTTTTCCTAACTCAGATATTTGAAATAATACTTTCTTGAAAGTATTTTATATCCATGTTTATGGATATAAAAATTTAATAAATATAAACTTCATTATTGTTACACGAAACACAGGAGAGTAAGCTATACAGTTAAAATTAGCCCTAGTAGAGAAAGTATACCAAAGTATTTCATATAGTAGTTGAAAATAATCTGAAGAGGGCGCTGAATTCAACAAAGTTTCCTCACTCCCTGACACTCTCAGTTTTAAGTGTTGCTAGATCTACTCCAAAATATTTTACATTTTCAGCTTTCAATTTAGTGGAGAGCTGTTTTTGTGCAGTGTGAAGTGTACAAACAGGATTCTCAAGAAGAGAGCTGGTTCCTCTGTGTCATGAAAGAGCAAGGAGACTGCATTGATTTTCTAACCCTGACAATACTTAATGACACTAGAGTACATTCTCAAGCATTTTCAGCCCCCTAAATCTCTAACACTCAGGTACATAGAAAGTCCACAGGGAGTGAACTTCATCGGACAGCTCTACTGTACCCCATGTGAGACTGTTCTGCGGATATGAGGGACGAGAGTTGTGCCCAGAATGCTTCCTGACTAGATTCTTTTGACTTGTGCACTGAGGTCAACAGAGATATCAGAAGGCTCAAGGGATCTCTTGAAATAGATCCCTAGCAAGGAGAAATTACTAGAAAACTTTTCATTTATTTTGAATGCATTAATAGTGGACTTGAGATACAGGAAGTGGAGGGAGTCTCAAATGGATTGCAAACAACTGTCACAAAAAGGAAGAAAATCCTTAAACCCAAAAGGGATCATGAAGTACTGGTGAACAGGCCTGTACCCTTTCCAAGTACAGCCCTAACTACCCAGGGATAGGTGACCTCTTCCAGGGCATTTCAATATATGTCATTATCTTGTAAACTCAACTGAGTTTAATAAACATAATATTAATATACAGGGTCTCTGATATCAGAATTAGTAGATCATATCAATGAAAATGTTTACAAATTTTTTATGAGAATATGGTTATTCTGTATAAACATTTATTATGTGTTCCTTAATAGGTTATAGACAGAATCTTAATGAGGTTTCTATTGTTTCTTAAATAAAGAGCCAAGAAATTTGTTCCAGACCTTTTTCTCAGAGTGCATGAGCCCACATTATTTGCATCCTTAACCTCAATAGTTAATTAATTGTAACATAAACATCATGTACCCTCAGTAATTCTTTTTTTGTTGTTGTTGTTGTTTTACCCTTGGTAATTCTAATGCAATATTTGCCCCTTTTCAGAAAACTCACTAAATATCCCATAATACATTTTTAGGAATTAGCAGGTGGTGTTCTGACACAACACCTGTTGAAAAACTCAAGCAAAGGATGCAAAATGGGGGGTAGATCTCCATCAGAACAATGATTTAAAAATGGATTTGACCAGAAATGTTTGCCCCAGGAACAAACCCCATCCTGTTTTTTTGAGATGGTGTGTGTATGAGTGTGTGTGTGTCTAACTTTGCTGCCAGATTGGTCTGGGATTCTGGGCTCAAGTGATCTTTTCGCCTCAGCTTACAGAATAGCTGCATGCCACCTCGCCCGGATTTTACTTCAACTTTTCACGCATTCATTTTACAATATAATAAGCAATAACAACTTAATACCTCATTACAACTACTGGCGTAGAACTTATCTTTCTCCCAAATGGGACCAGCTACTATAGATTCAAGAGCACCTCTTGAATTTAATAGGGAAATGAGTCTGGAACTGGAAAGAGGGCTAAAGCAAGAGACTACCACAAGGTGGCACTGTTTCAGTAGACCTGCAAAATACCCGACATCGCCCAGGGAGCTCCAGGAAGCCCCCAGGGAGCGCTAGTGCTTTTGGGGCTTGGGAAGGGCGGCAGGCCCTCTGCTCCTAGGAAGGGCTGAATTTAGGATGGTCGGTGGTCCTGACGTGGCGTTGTGACCGCACTCTCCTATTGACTCTGCTATTATGGATGGTATCCAGGAGGTGCTGCTGCCCCCTCGGACAGGACGCCAGGAAGCATCGGTTGCATTGCTGAGCCTCTGTCCCTAGGGCCAGCTGGGCCCCAGGATCTCCGAGCAAGGCGGCTAGAGCGGGCCCCAAATTCCCTGAAACGTCCGAGACTGGGTGGGTGAGATGAGAAGCAGCCTCCCTCTGCGCGCTTGCTGCCCGAATCCCCACCACCAGACTGTGGCTAAAAATGAGTTCCTGCGCCTCATTTCCCCAGCGTGGGTCTCTGCATCTGGGCCCTCTGCGTGGGCAACTGGGTGAGGGTCTCTTGCGGCAATCGGACGCCGGAGGCCCTTGGAGACCCTTGGCCGCACAAAGCCCTACCACCCGGTTCTCTCTTCTCTGGCGACCAGAGGCGTCCCAGGACGAACACAATCCGGGGCCAAGTCCTGGTTTTAATTTTACTCCCAGTGGCGAGGAACTAGGAGGCTCCAAACCCCACAAACAGGAAGGAGGGAAGGCCCTGGAGAGCGGGCAGTAGGAGGGCTATTCCCAGCAGCGTGACTCGGGATGGGCCAGGGGCGGGGGCAGAAACGCGCATCCCATCCCCCTCGTGCCGGCCAGAGGGTCCCTGGGACCGCGATGGGGTTGTTGGAATAGCCGGGAGAGGGGCACGCCAGCGGACGGCTGGGGGACGGGGCCGGGGGCGGAGGCTCCCCCAGGGCCCCCGCCCACCGCCCCCGCGGCCCCGGGGCGCCCTCGCTGTGCCGTAGCCGGGGCGGGGCGTGCGCGTCAGCCCCGGCTAGAAAAGGCGGCGGGGTCGGCCCAGTGAGGTGACAGCAGCACTTAGACGCAAAGTCTGGCCCGACGCCGCCATGAGCGCCGCGCTCTTCAGCCTGGACGGCCCAGCGCGCGGCGCGCCCTGGCCCGCGGAGCCCGCGCCCTTCTACGAGCCAGGCCGGGCGGGCAAGCCGGGACGCGGGGCCGAGTCCGGGGCCCTGGGGGAGCCGGGCGCCGCCGCCCCTGCCATGTACGACGACGAGAGCGCCATCGATTTCAGCGCCTACATCGACTCCATGGCCGCCGTGCCCACCTTGGAGCTGTGCCACGACGAGCTCTTCGCGGACCTCTTCAACAGCAACCATAAGGCGGGCGTCGCGGGCGGCGCGAGCGGCCTGGAGCTACTGCCCGGCGGCCCCGCGCGGCCGCCCGGCCCGGGCCCCGCTGTCCCGCGCCCGCTCAAGCGGGAACCTGACTGGGGCGACAGTGACGCGCCCGGCTCGTTGCTGCCCGCGCAGGTGGCCGCGTGCGCGCAGACGGTGGTGAGCCTGGCGACCTCCGCGCAACCCACACCGCCCACGTCTCCGGAGCCGCCGCGAAGCAGCCCGGGTCCGAGCCCGGCGCCGGGTCCTGCCCGAGAAAAAGGCTCCGGCAAGAGGGGCCCCGACCGCGGCAGCCCGGAGTACCGACAGCGACGCGAGCGCAACAACATCGCGGTGCGCAAGAGTCGTGACAAGGCCAAGCGACGCAACCAGGAGATGCAGCAGAAGCTGGTGGAGTTGTCGGCGGAGAACGAGAAACTGCACCAGCGCGTGGAGCAGCTCACGCGGGACCTGGCCGGCCTCCGGCAGTTCTTCAAACAGCTGCCCAGCCCGTCCTTCCTGACGTCCGCCGGGGCCGCCGACTGCCGGTAACGCGCGGCCAGGGCCGGGAGAGACTCACCAACGACCGATACCTCAGAATCGACGGGCCCCTAGTGGAGCGCGCCCTAGCCAGGCGCCGCGAGAGTCGCCCGGCGCCTGCTGCAGTTTCTTTGGGACATGTGAGTGAAAGGAAGCTACAGCCTGGACTTACAGTCACTGAACTGCGAGAGAAGCTATACGTGTTTATTTTCCCTTAAATTATTTTTATAATGGTAGCTTTTTCTACATCTTACTCTTATTGAAGCAGCTAAGGTACATTTGTAAAAAAACAAAAACCCTTTCAAACAAAACCTTTGTATTGTAGATAAGAGGAAAAGACTGAGCATGATCACTTTTTATATTAATTTTTACAACATTTGTAAGAATAAAGAAGCATTTAAAATCGCCCCTGCTTCATATATTCGCAACGACTACAGCACACCCGTGCGCCAGGACCCTAAACAGGGCGTGCCAGACCTAGCCTGAGGTGAGCACCTGGGGGTCTTGGGACCAGGTGTCTTTTTCTCTTGGGGGAATAGAGCTTCTTAGACAAGAGGGTCAGCTTGCTTTTCGAACATGCCAGAGACTACTTCCACGTTTTCTTTAGCTTGCCTAAAATATATATGGCATGACTAAGCGTGCCTAAGGCTAGCAGCTTTCCAGTGGAAGATGCTCTCCCCAAAGTACCTAGATCTGGGTTGGGGCTGGCTGATTTGAGGGCCCCGCTGATAACATCACTAACTCTAGATTGCGGGTGAGGGATAGAGGAGGCCTTAAGTGATCCGGAAATTTGTTTGGTCTTCTGCTTTCCTGGGACTTTGCTTTCACTTTCCTGAGTCTTCAGGACCACAGTGGAGTGTAGATTTTCAAAGTGTGCATAAGGACGAAATAGTCTTGCAGTAGATACAAAGGCAGTCCTCAAGCTATTTTAAACTGGCTATTTTGTTAGCAATTGTAATGTTTCAAGGCTTAATCCAAACAAAGCCATCTGCTTTTTTTCCCTAAGAAAACTGGTTATTTGGCACCTTTTCTTGTCTAAGAACTGGGCAAGTTAAGTGTATATTATGTAATTAATTAACCATGGTTTGTCGTCATGTTGAGGAAGAAAACAAAATCTTTAGCATTCAAAGTTAATTCATTGCTTTATGTGTATTAAATCTCTGCCAACAAAGTGAATAATGATAAGCGACTGCTCTAAATCTGCGTGATCTTTGGTCCTGTCACAGTGCAATTACCCAGCTTGATCTAACAGGTCATGTGGTGGAGTGAGCTTCCCATATCTCTACTCAGTATACAACTTTATCAATATATATAACTTATTTATAGTTCATGGATAACATTTAAACCTCTGACATAGTTTCCCAGGACTTTTTCCCAAAAAATACTGAACTGCAAAATGCTTAGATTGGACATTTATTGTATCAGAACAGTAATATCACAATGTGGGACAAAGTTTTAAGGTCACAAGGTATTTTTCTTTGGGGAAATGAAAACATACAAGGAAAAGATGACGAAGCATAAAATTTTGAATACTATTAAGCTATAATTGTACAACATATTTATGTCCAATGTTATTGCCTAACATATATACAAAACGAAGGTCTCAGGTTTATTAAAGCTCTAGAAACATTCCTAAATTTGTGGAAAGATAATAAAAAAGCCATAGAAAAGATCTTTTAGATTTATAGTTTACAAAACCATCTTACATTTGTCCCAGAAAAATCGAGTAAGTTTCATTTTAAGATCATAAAATAATTCACTCTGTCCATAGTTAACAAATAACTACAAAACCCAGTCCCCACCCCCACCCTTGCAGCCACATTGCAAAGTTCACAAATCCAGTGGCAACTGCTGGCCTTCAGCAGAGTTTCCTCCTGTACTCAGAAGCTCAATTTCCTCCAATCCAATGAAGTTAGTTGGGTGGGTGGTTATGGACTGTACAAAACAACTTAACAGCCCCACCTCCTTTCCGAGGACACTCTTTACTTCGTAAGTCTGCAGTGATAAAGGCATGCTGGTTAGAGCAAATAGAGCCAGCCCTGCACGTTTTGTTCCCAGCAATACAGAACAGAACAGGCCCTTTCCCCAATCCAGGACCTTCTGTCCTCAAATGGTGAGAAGAGTTGGGTGGGGGGGGTGCTGCTGTAAAAGCCCCCTTTATTATGGCAAATGAAGGAACTATTTTATTCTGATAACTTAATTCTGTTTTTATACAAGGAACATTTAATACATCTCATGTTTCTTAGTGTATGCTGTGATAAGCTGGCCAAGGGAAGGAATGAGGGACAAGACTTGCAAAGGATCTGCCTATGCTTCAGCTGGACAGGCAGGCTGGGGCTCAGAGCTGTCTCCACTTCCTTTGGGACACTTCCCCAATCTAGCAACACTTCCGGTCAAAGGATTTCCTGGAACTTTGCCCCAAGCTTCCCTCCTCAACAGGATCCTATTTCTTCTTAAATTATACTATGCTAAACACCTCCTCTTGTGTTGTAGTAATGAAACTAAGCTTTTTCTTCACATGCTTAATCTCAGGCAAATTTCCTTTTGATAAGAATTCTGCACAGGGTAACCAGGGTCCCCAACCCCGGCTTGGTCTCCATAGATCAAACTGTAGATCATTTATGGTTAGAGTGGGGCAGAAAATAAAAGCTTAAAAGTCTTGGGATAAATGAGATCTTTGGACTTCTGGGAGACACTTGCACAGGAATACTGTGGGCACTCCTCTCCTCTGTGCAAGGTACCTGATAAATTTCTACAACTTTCTGTTTGGTATGTATTAACTTACCTCTTCCTTCATTAAGCTGTCACAACCCAGAAGATCAAGTCTGGAGAGGGCAGATAATGTAGCCAGAGCAGACTAAGTCTGTGGATACTTGTGCCCTCCCATCAAGTGGGTGGTCTTTTACCCTCATTCTGAGGCTGGGCTGGTTTCAGTGACTGGCTTCTCCTTACAGTGAAGAGGCACAGCCCAGCCTGCCTGTCCAGCTGAAGCACAGGCAGATCCTCTGCAAGTAACATCCCAATGGCAGTTAGGAAAAGTACCCAGCCTCTGCCTGTCTTCCTGTTAGGGCCAGACACATGCTGTTGAGAGAGAGTGGTCAGAACCCTGGCTGGGGACTGAAGGAGGCTTCAGCAACCCTAGCCCTGCTTGAGACATCAGGTGATACTAGTGTAGCAGAAACTGTCCTATCTGAGCTGCAAGTATCCATGCAGAATAAATGTTGAAACCACTAAGCATTGAGATGATTTATTTTGTAGCAATAAGTATCAGGATCATTCTGGGATGTGAACACCACTGATGCCAACTCATTATGATTCTATTATTTTCCCACCTGTAACACAAGCTTGATGAAAAATACCTAGCCTACTACTTATATGTGCTCTGTTCCTTTGCTTTCTTTTTTTTAAAAAAAATTATATATATACACATATATATGTATACACCCACACCCACATTTTAGTTGTCGATGGACCTTTATCTTATTCATTTATTTATATGTGGTGCTGAGAATCAAACCCAGTGCTTCACATTCACATATGCTAGGCAAGCGCTACACCACTGAGTCACAATCCCAGCGCCCCCCCCACCCCCCTGCCTTTTTTTTTCCTTTTTGGAAGTACTGGGGTTTGAACCAAGGTGTACTCTACTACTGAGCTATATCCCCAGCCCTTTTTATTTTGTGACAGGGTTTTACTAAGTTGCCAGGGCTGCCTTTAAACTTGGTATCCTCCTGCCTCAGCTTCCTGAGTAGCTGAGATCACAGGCATGTGCCACTGTGCCCAGTCTTAATGTGCTTTGTAAGAAGTTTTGGCTTCTTTAGCAAAATAAGTTAGAATAATGTCTCAATTGGTGGGCTCTGGAGTGATTGGGAGAGTAAAAGTTGCTGGTCAAGGCAGGAAGAGAAGAAATTAATAATGGAGGTTCTGGCTTTCCTTATAGGCTCAACTGTAGCATGGACAATAAGTTCATGGCCCACTCATTCACTCACTCATTGTAGTTTACTATGAGCCCATGCAGCCTCATGACAGTAAACAAGACAGAACCTCAAAGCTTCTGCTCTGGAGGAAGGGCACCAAGCAATAGAGAAAGATGGTCACCAAACAGTACTGGGAGGAGGGTGGCAGGACAGTTAGGTACTTCTCTGGTGTCTCTTAAAAATTTTAGCCTTGTTGGTGTAAGCAGGAAGGAGATAGCCTAGGCATTCCTATGCTCCTTTGGAGCAAATACACATAATTTTGACTTTAAAAAAGTCAATAAAAAATCCGTTCTATTTAAAGTGTTAGGTTTGTCTTATATCACCCATAAATGGAGCTTAAATTATAAATTTTTTATATTTGGGGAAAGTTAATATGGTGAGGTTAAAACAACTGTAATGGCCAACTCACATGCACTATTCATATGAATGTGTATCTGCATATGTACAAATTGTTTATGTTTGTGTGTTTGTGTATTTTTTTTTGGGGGGGGGGATTGAATCTAGGGACACTCAACCACTGGGCTTCATAACATGAGTTACTTAGCGCCTCATCATTGCTGAGGCTGGCTCTGAACTCAACGATCCTCCTGCCTTAGCCTCTCGAGCCACTGGGAGTAGAGGCGTGTGCCACTGCACCAGGCCGTATACCTATTTTTAAATGGCACAATATATGTGTTCCCTTAACTTTTCCTTTTCTGAAACTTAAGGGAATGAACTTCTGAATTCCACATAAATATAATGTTATCATTGAGAAATGATATGTACAGCGACAACCAATCCTATTGTTTTCACATATATAGCTTGACTACATTAAAGTGAAGGCATAAAATTTACCATTCAAGTAACCTTATTAGAAACAGTACAATTTGCTCCAGGATGAATGGAATTATGGTTCTTATGGAAAGCCCTAATTTGACGCTTTAGATTTTGGTGGATGTGCATTCTCACCAGGAAACGGACAAAATCCAGACTGGGTAATTTGCAGCTCATGTCCTTGCATAGGCCTTTTGATAACTTCTTCAATTAGCTACTTTCCAGGATAGATGTAAAGTTCCAAAAGTTGGGGGTAGGGTGAAGAGCCTCCTAAAATGTGTACCTCCAGGCTTGGAAAGTTCCCTTGCTCTGATGGTGTGGGCTCTGAAGTCAGCATCCACAAATACCTAGTGCAGTGACCACCCTGTGCCCCTTTACACACATATGCATACACACACCCACAGCACTCAAGCAAACATGTACACAAGTACTTGCACATATACGCTCACATGTGCACAAAGGCACACCTGTCCTCTTGAGCTCTTTTTAAATAGGATTTTATCTATGGGAACATTCTAGTTGAGAAGTTAAATGTATGGGAGGGACAAGATGCCTCAGCCAGTAGGAAAGCCAAGTGAAGGAGGGAGGAACTGCCAGGGCTTCTTGGCCTTTGAGTCCCTAAAGAGGGGTAGGGTTTACCAGGCAACATGAAGTGCTGCCCATTGCTGGAGGCTTCCTGGAGGAAGCATCAAGCTGCCTTCCTGAGGAGCCCTCAGGTGCCCAGTGGGTGACCAGCCTGCCGCACCCAGTCAGGGGTTGGAGGCTGTGGAGCCACAAAGCAAGACATCAGCTACTGGGCAGCATGGATCAGTGGGTGAACTCTGCCATACCCAGCTGTTACCAGTTGTGGGTTTATGTGGGAGCATTTTCAGTGCTTTCCCCATCTTTCTCCATGGATATTCATTCTCTGAAACGCCTTATCTGTCATCTTTAGCATCTGCCCATTCCCCAGTCCCCCACTGTGGAAACCTCTGACCTGTCAGCCTTGGGCAGAACCCTCTGACCCAGCATGGCCTCTTCTTTCTTCTTCCCTCCCCCAAAAGACAGGAGACAAGGAATCCGCCCTCAGGCACCACTGCCTTGTCTTGTCACCTGCTAAACACTGAAACTTTCATAAGTTCCTGTCACATGTCTCCTATCTGAGCTGGCTACTAACACTGCCAGTTTGTCACTTCTGCAGGGATTACAATGATTGTGCCTTTGTGGGATGTATTTGGGTAAGATCTATACTCCCTGACAGAAAAAGGTGGGTTCTGCCTTACTGGGATGATGGGGAGATTGGAGAGAACACATGTGAGAAAGGCAGTGAGTTCAGTTCTTGGCCCATGATGATTACTGACTTTTACACAATCAGGAAACACTTGCATATGTACCTTCTTACAGCCTGGTCTGAGCATCAACCCCTATGTGGGCCACAGGAGCAACAGCTCAGATGGAGGTTCTAAGCTGGAACATGGGGTTGCTCAGGAGCCAGTGGGCTTTATCTCAGGGGGAATAGAGACTCTTAGAACTCCATAGGAGATGAAAGCCCTATGAAAGCAGGGCTTAGAGGTTAAGCTCAAACCAGTGATCTTAAGATATTATTCACAGATTTATCCATATTGCAATTTAAACGGATAGCCCTGGATTAGCTGAAAAAGGGTGAAAACTGAAAGTGCTCTGCACGGCATGTCCTGAATCTTGGGCCAGGAGAGGAACTGGCAGAGCTGGAGAGGGTGGCAGGCTGAGGAAAGGGGTTTCCACAAGTCAAGTCTGTGCACATTCTGGCTTGAATCAGAGCTGGAATTTGTCCACAGATTCCATGAGGAAAAGACCCCTGTTCAATGGGCCAAAGTTGATCTGGAAATGATCAGCCTTCCCTGTTCCTACCTCCTGTGAGGCTGACCCAAGCCAGCTCCTGGGCCCTTCTCCAGGCTCGATAATTCCAAGAGCCACTTGTGGTGCTTTTAAATAGGTTTGACAATACAAATAGCATCTCAAGGACAGAATTCCCATTTATAAGGCCCAAATTCTGTGATACAGAAACTGTATACTTTGGGGATACTTCTCTTAGAGAAGTACTTTGCTCTACTAAGTCTCAACACAGTAATTCTCAAGGCAGAAAAATCAGTTTTGAGGGATAATGGTAACATTTTCAGCTACATAAAGTCTGGAATACCCATCATTGAAAAACTAAAGAGCATCTTAGGTAATTCTGTTCTACAACTGTGAAGCTATGGCAGCAGGACACCAACCTCCAGACCATGTAATTATAATCAAAGCCAGTGGGACAGATTCCTGTATTTGCTTCAAGGTTGATCTGGAAATAATTTCATTTACAAAGAGGAAAGAATCTCATCAGCCTACATGGGCACTTGTTAGTAAGTGACAGTAAAAGGATGTATCCATTTTTCAATATGTAAGCAGACACAGTTTTTTTGGGCAGTACTGGGAATCAAACCCAGGTACCTTACAACTAAGCTATATCCCCAGCCCTTTTCATTTTTTTTAAAAAAATTTGAGACAGGGTCTCATAAGTTCCTGAGACTGGCCTCAAACTTGTGATCCTCCTCCCTCAGCCTCCCCAGTAGCTGGGATTACAAGCATGCACCACTGTGGCTGATCTGATCCAGATTTTAATTCTCAAGGTAGGCTAATCAGTGGGATTTGTTGTAACTGAACATAAATGGCAGAGGGCTCTTTCTCTGCAGACGATTGCTCGATTGCTCACTCAGGCTCAAGAGTGTTGGGCATACCTGGGCTGGGACTCCCTGTACTTACCCCATCCTCACAGGCAGCAAACCTCAGCAGTGAAGAAATACTGCCCTGCAATAGCTGCAACGACAGGGGAACAGGGCTGGGTTAAAACTATTAAGTACTCATGCAAAAATAACTCTTGTTCTTAAAATTAACAGGCTAAGTCTAAACTGCCTGTCTTTTCTTCAAAGCTTCAGCGGAAGCTTTAAGTCAAACATGACTTTGAAGTTACAATATGGAGACTATTTGTGAAGAGGTACTCTGAGGGCTAGAGAGAGCTCTGGGTATAGGTCCCTCCCAGCTGTGAGTCACACACATCAATACCATAGGTGGACAAAGAACATGCAAGTGCTCCAGTTTTCCCCTGTCCTCGAGTTCCTGAGGTACATGTGGAAAATGAGCATGTGCTCTAGGTACCAGCTCCTACCTTAACCTTCACGCTGCACTGGGGCCTTGAAGGGCAGTCCAGAAAGACTTGCAGGTGCCTCTTGAGAACAGGAGATGTGACCAACTCACAACAATCTCCACAGAAAAAGGTGCCTCTGTTGTGTGAAAATGCATAGGAAAAACAAACAAGTGAGGAGGCCCAATTAGATGAGTTCTAGCAACAGACACACATTTCTCTAAAAATGAATGTTTGCTGAGGGAGACAAGAGGGTTTTGCTATCAAAATCAACTTCCTGAGATTGGCCAGAGTCTGATTCTATTCTGATGGATGAATGCAGGCTTTGGTGACAGTGGCTGAAGACTATTGAGGGGACTCTTGGACAGGCAGAGAGTTATCATTTACATGGAGCAGAGGGGAAGGCACCACTATCTTTGGTCCCCTACTGCTTCCACTTGAATCCACGTTCTCTGGCCTCTTCAATGTGATCTGGAGATGACTTGTGTACAAAGGCCACCAACCCAGCAGGCATCAAGGCAACATTTGTTCTTTGCTTCCTAAAGAGGGAACAAGTAATGAGCACACCCTTTTCTGCCTGTCACTCTACAAAGTCCAGTTGGGAGGCCAGGGAATTGACTCCAAAGAAACAAACTGCATGGACATCCAGCCCTCACCATGACCCAAGAGGAGGTGCAGAAAAACTGGGCAGGGAAGGGATGTCTGTTCAGTGCTGCTCATTGGTGTCTGGTGTCTGGAAAAGCCTGGACCACTTGCACAGGACACTCTATAAAGTCCTCACATTGCTCTCACTTATTCATGTTTATCCTGCCTTTCTTTTTTCTTCTGACTAATAATAAAGGAGCTAAGGACAAAAACCAGCTCTTTTAAAAGACAGAAATATCTGCAAAAGCAACAGGAAAATACTAGTTAGGAAAACCCACAGGTATAGTGGCCTTTTTCTTGCAGCTCAGCAGAGCAGCTTCCCCTCGGAGCTCTTAGGGAAGCTGCTGAAGGCAGCGAGGCTGTGGGGCCTTGGGGCTAGGTCATGCTCTTTGGGGCCTGGGAATTTCAGGGCAGCCTTACCCATCTTCTGGCCTCTGTTCCAATCTCCCATTGCCACACCGGTCACATGTAGGCCATGAGAAAGCGGTGTTCTCATCCACGCCAACCACAGTGCCTAGGCCCATGTGAGAGAAAAGCCAGACCTTCAGAGGTAATTTCTGCTCTGATCACCCAGATGACATGTGAACCCTCAGATTGTTTTCTTACTGGTAAATTTATATAAGTCTGAGCTTTTTATAATTTCCACTTATTACACATACAAAATTAAAACAATTTAAAGCAAATTTTAAACTTGCCTACAACAAGACCACCTAACCAAGCATCTTTGTTTTTCCTTGATTTTTTTCCCCCAGAAGCATACATAGTTAAATCGTTAAGGTCAAACCATCCATGGATGTTACCTTGTGTTTTTGAACTTACTACACAGCTGCTGGAAAGATTGTTATCTTATTGACATGCAGTAAGGTGACAGATTCCATTCCACCCTCCCCATGTTAGATATTAGGTCTCTAAATTAATTAATTAGTTGATTAATTTTGTAGTTCTGGGGATTGAACCCAGGGGGTACTCTATCACTGAGATTCTCCAGCTCCTTTTAGAATTATTTTGAGACAGAGTCTTGTTAAGTTGCGGAGATTGGCCTCCAACTTGCAATCACCTTGTCTTAGCCTCCTGAATTGCTGGGATCACAGGCTTCCTCAGGATTACTTTAATGGTATGGCAGTGAGTGTCTCTGCATAGAAGCCTTTTCTGTATGAAGGCCCTTATTCAGAACAGATTCCTGGAAGTAGAATTATTGCTTCCCAGAGTATGAGTAGTGGGGATATAGAAAAAGCCTTTCAGAAAGTACTTCCTAAGAGGACATTTTGATTTACATTGTCCCAATTCACAGAATGCCAGTTTCACTATACTGCACAATCAGTATCTTAAGAATGTGCCTCCTTAACAGGTATAATGAAATTGCTTATTTTAATTCCACTTCTTTCATAAGAAAAGATAAATCATTCTTATTGGTTTGTTAATATATTCTCAAATAAGATTTCTCTGGTTTCCTTATTGTAATTGTGATTAAGAATGCATGCATTTCTTTTCTACTCCAGCATTTATGATTGATTTATTCAACCAACAAATAAGTATAGGATACCGCTATTTTTTTTTTTTTTTCTGGGTACTGGGGATCTAACCTAGGACCTCCATGAATGCTAAGTAAGACTGTATCATTAAACCACACCCTATCCATGATTTTTTTTTTTTTTTTTTTTTGCAGTACTAGGGATTAAACCCACGGGCCCTCTACCACTAAGTTATATCCCCTGTCCTTTTTATTTAATTCTGAGACAGAATCTTGATAAGTTGTTGAGGCTTGCCTCAAATTTGTTATCTTCCTGTCTCAGCCTCCCACAGATATGGGAGGTAGTACAGATGTGTACCACCACACACAGTCATATCATGCTATTTAGAATGAGATATATGCGGGCCTTGAGGCACAAAGATACACGGAACATTATCTACTTCAATGGAATCAGTCTAGTTGGGAAAGCAGATAAATAAACAAGGAATAAAATTATCATGAAATAAATGCTAATAGAGAAAAGGAAAAGTCCTCTGAAAAGTGCAGCAGAGATGCCTTGTGGTCTGGTTTGAGGGCCAGGGAAGCTTCTACAGAAAGGAGTGAGGGGATTGGCAGCCTGACCCTGGCAGTCAAACTTATACCTCTGACAACCCTGCATACCCCAGTGGGGCTGGAGGCTGTGCTAGCATTGAGGGAGGGCAGGCAATACAGCTGTGGAGTTGGCAACACCATAGCTGGGATTGAGATGGTCATGTTTCCTTGGATGTGAAGCATGATTGATAACATCAAGATATATTGGCAAACTGCAGATCATCCTTGAAATGTGATGAATTAGATGCTTAAAGAAAAAGTAAGAAGTGACCTGAGTTTCTGGATAAATAGATGAGTTTCTGTTCCCATTCTTGAAGCAAAATGTTTCATTCTGTTCCCATTCTTGAAGCAAAATGCTTCCTCTACAGAAAATATATCTGTAGAGGGTAAAGCAGAGTTATGGGAAATAGCAGGCTTGGTTTATTAAAATACATTTATGCAATGCAGACTTGAATGACTTCTTAAAAATGAGAATAATAGATCTTGATTTTTAAAAGGCTGTCCTAGCTAATGACATTGTCCTTGCAAATCTAATCAAAAGCATGTCGAAAGGATGAAAAGTAAAGTCAATAAAGTCCTATAATACAGCCGGAAAGGAATGTGAGCTCATTCATAATAGTCAGATGCAGAAGGAAGTCCAAAGGAGAGAAATGTGTGGCCTGTCCCCAAACACCAGATCATGTCATGCATTGTGGTCAGGTTCCCATCCGGGCCTGTGTGCCCAGCATGGAGCTATTTCATAGCAGGGCTTGGTGAACAACTGCTAAACTAATTATTAAAAATAGGCTGCTACTAAGCAAAGTTCCTTTTTACTGTAGGATGTGCATGGGTGTTAACAGCATTTACATTTATATGGGATTAAGTAATTTCCTTCCAATTAGAGAATAAGGCAAGAGTTGATGAAATGTTTTTCATGGGGTCTACAAACCACTAGAAATCTTTCGGGCAAACTTAAATGAATTTAAGGGATGTTTGGGAAGTGTTATTAAACAGTGTTGAGAACATTCACTTAAATCAACACCAGAAGAAAAAAATAAACAATTTTTGCCAGCACTGAGGGGTGTGATGCCACCTTCATTGGCTTGCCTGCAGGTTGCTATTAAAAGCTTCATACTTTGCTTGTCTTCTGTACAGAAATCCCTCATAATCAGGTTTGGGAAAAGTATATATCACTTAGTTATTAAAGCTTCTTTTTAAAAAGGTCTTTCTAAGAGTGTTAAGGAAAGTGCCTCAACTGCAAGCTATCTGGGGTCCTTTTGGGCTAAGCTGACACCGCCAGGTCAATGTACACATTTCTTCAGTTATTCTGCATTCTCTGCTACACCCTTCCCCCTGAAATTTCCTGAAAGGAAGAAGTAGGGGGAATCACAATTTATAAAACTTCTACCTAAAAGCCGAGACCTGGTTTGAGGATGGGCCTTTGCCATCCCTTCCCACGGAGGCATGCTTCATCCATTCATGGAGCGGTATGCAAAGTCCCTCACCCTTAGTGAGCTATGAATAAAGAAGAATAAATGGTTCGAGAGAGAAAAAAAATTGTTGCTGCAAGACTACTTCACCCCAGAAAATAAAGTGGAAAGAAGTCTTTGCATATTCTGGGCACTGACATTCAGAGAAGAATAGGCCCTGTGCCCTTATTGAGGAATGAGTGCTCTCCCCTCAGGGAGGTTCACATTTTTTAGGAGTGATAAACACCTTCACAGGGATTCTGTTCTGGGAATGTGTTCAGGGTCCTTTCAAGCCCTACTTGAAGAAAATTCTTAATATTTAGCTGTCTGAGACCCAGATGCTCAACTGACTTAGCAGTTGCTGAGAGCTGCCCAATCCCCAGTACTGACTTACTGCAGATGTAAAGATGCCCAGATGGAGCCAGGCTGGAGACAAATCATCACTGAATCCTGGGCCACTGACACAGGACAAAGCAAGGATGAAAGCCTGAGAAGGGAGCATCTGCTATTATTGTAGAGAAGTGAGGACTCCACCCAGGTATGGATTTGAGGGAGTTGGAGCTAGGCAGTTCACAGCTGGCTAGTGTACAGGGCAGGGATTCCTGGTAGGAACAGTGCACCCATCTGCTGCCTTGCTGTGGGCATTCCTTGTGGGGCAAAACTTGTCACTTTGCCACTGGGCTTTGTTTTCTCTTAATGCCCAGTGGATTGGTTCTTATCAGAGTATCTGGCAACACTCATTGCTGCTGTGATAACACTCTGCTTACACATCACCCTTATCTACCACAGGTCTGCAGGGAAGTTGCAGAGGAGGCCTGGAAGCAGAGGAGACCTGCAGGGAATGCAAATGAAATTGGGGAGATGGGAAAAAATATGTAAGAAACTTGGATCAACATAAGGAAAAGATCAGCATCGGGAAAGCAATATGAGAAGGTAAAATAGAATCTTTTATATTTCTTCTGAACATGGTGGTATGTACCTGTAGTCCCAGTTACTCAGGAGGCCTAGGCAGGAAGATCTCTTGAGACCTGGAGTTCAATACTGGTCTGGGCTATGTATCAAGAAACTGCCTTCTCTTTATTTTTTTAAAATATTTTATACTTAGTCTAAATTGTTCAGTAAGTTATTATTGATCTAATAGTTTATTTAAATAATAACAATGATATACTCAGTGATTTATAGGCAAGTGACGTGAATGACAATGATGTCATAAAAAATAGAAGAAGGAACTGGAAACACTCTTGAGGTACCTGCATTAACTGAGAAGTAGGAGAGTATTATTTGAAAGTGGACTTGAGTGGTTGTAAATGTACATTTCAAACTCTGGGGCAACCACTAGAAAGCATTAAAAAATAAGTATAATTAATATGCAGAAAGAAAAGAAAAAATGGATTCATACAGGATGCCCAATTAAAACAAGAAAAGGCAGAGAAAAAGACAAAACAGAATCAGCGACAATGGATGGAAAACAGTTGTAAATATGATTGGTATCAATTCAATTATATTGATAATCACCAGAAGTGTGGGTAGTTTCAATACACAAAAGACAAAGACTAATTAAATATACAAACATACAAATTTAAAGAGACTGGTTCAAAATACAAGGAAGTTCCATTAAATATAAAGACATAGATAGATTAAGAATAAAGGTGTAGAGAAAGATACATGGTGGGGACTGGGATTATGGCTTAGTTAGAGTGCTTCTAGCACATGCAGGGCCATGGGTTCAATCCTCAGCAACACATGTAAATCAATAAAATAAAGATATTGTGTCCACCTATAATAACAACAGAACTTCAAAATATATGCAGCAAACTGATGGGAAAGAAAAATAAATTCACTACTATAGTTGGAGACCTCAATACTCTCTATGACAGATCCAGCAGGCAGAAAACTAATAAGAGTAAAGTTGAACTGACAGTAACATCAATCAATAGGATTTATTTATTTATATATTTTTAAACATTTTTTTTAGTTGTAGTTGGACACAACACCTTTATTTTT